ATAAATAAATGAAGTGTTTCTGTTATAGTAGATGTGCACTTTATTGGAAAAGAGGCATCTGTTAGAGAGAGAAAAAATCCTTTATATTCACGGTTTGCCAGCGAACAAAAGCCTGTCAAACATACCTTGGGTTTGGTTGGGTGACTGTCATGTCATGGAAAAATCTGGCAGAAGGCCAGGTGAGGGGGATATGCCACCATGAAATATTGGGCCAGGGTGACATTGATGATTCATCATGAATGCACTAAGGTCTTGGAGGAAGATTCGACTCGGTGGGCATTTAGGAAGGGAATCTTGCTCTCAGAATGCACCATCCGTGAGCCATGCCTGGAAGAGCTCCAGGGAGAACGTTTCCATGCTTAGGATTCTATTCTTACCCACCATGATCAGTGGCACTTGGATAATACAAAAATATGTTTAATTTAACAATTTCACTTGTTGTTTATGTATACTTATAGACTACCTTTAGAGATAATATGAAGTCTGCTCAAGGAAAACAGTCAATTACCGTCTTGATATTGCATAACAAATGACAAATATACAGTGGAAAGTGACTACATAGTTAAAAATGCATATGCAAAAAGAAATATTACAAAAGGGAGGCAAGGAGTCTTGATACCACTCATTTTCATCATTTTGCAGTAAATATGATGCCACTGCAGCTGTACGAGTGCTGTTTATTACTCTATTTTTTATGCTCATTATGATGGCAGTGTCCATTTCACTCTATCTCTGTGCATCGTTCTTGGTAACATTAACCATGAGCTGTTTCTGTTTTATGTCGTGTGCACGTCAGTGGAAAAGAGCCATCTGTTAGAGAGGGAAAAAAAAAAATCCTTATATTCACAGTTTTGCAGTGAAAAATGACCAATCAAAACATACCTTGGATTTGGTTGGGTGACTGTCATGTCATGGAAAAATCTGGCAGAAGACTAGGTGAAGGGAATATGAACAAACCTGAGACATTTTTCATTAGTGAATTTATAATTGCACAATTGAAAAAATAAAAGTTACTAATATGATGTTTAATACTTTTAGCAGTCTCTTCAACCTTTATGAATCACAATAAATAAATGAAGTGTTTCTGGTATAGTAGATGTGCACTTTATTGGAAAAGAGGCATCTGTTAGAGAGAGAAAAAATCCTTTATATTCACGGTTTGCCAGCGAACAAAAGCCTGTCAAACATACCTTGGGTTGGTTGGGTGACTGTCATGTCATGGAAAAATCTGGCAGAAGACTAGGTGAAGGGAATATGAACAAACCTGAGACATTTTTTCATTAGTGAATTTATAATTGCACAATTGAAAAGATAAAAGTTACTAAATATAGATGTTTAATACTTTTAGCAGTCTCTTCAACCTTTATGAATCACAAATAAATAAATGAAGTGTTTCTGTTATAGTAGATGTGCACTTTATTGGAAAAGTGCCATCTGTTAGAGAGAGAGAAAATCCTTTATATTCACAGGTTTGCCAGCAAACAAAAGCCTGTCAAACATACCTTGGGTTTGGTTGGGTGACTGTCATGTCATGGAAAAATCTGGCAGAAGACTAGGTGAAGGGAATATGAACAAACCTGAGACATTTTTCATTAGTGAATTTATAATTGCACAATTGAAAAAATAAAAGTTACTAAATATAGATGTTTAATACTTTTAGCAGTCTCTTCAACCTTTATGAATCACAAATAAATAAATGAAGTGTTTCTGTTATAGTAGATGTGCACTTTATTGGAAAAGAGGCATCTGTTAGAGAGGAAAAAAAAAATCCTTTATATTCACAGTTTTGCAGTGAAAAATGACCAATCAAACATACCATGGATTTGGTTTGGTGACTGTCATGTCATGGAAAAATCTGGCAGAAGACTAGGTGAAGGGAATATGAACAAACCTGAGACATTTTTCATTAGTGAATTTATAATTGCACAATTGAAAAGATAAAAGTTACTAAATATAGATGTTTAATACTTTTAGCAGTCTCTTCAACCTTTATGAATCACAAATAAATAAATGAAGTGTTTCTGTTATAGTAGATGTGCACTTTATTGGAAAAGTGCCATCTGTTAGAGAGAGAGAAAATCCTTTATATTCACAGTTTGCCAGCAAACAAAAGCCTGTCAAACATACCTTGGGTTTGGTTGGGTGACTGTCATGTCATGGAAAAATCTGGCAGAAGGCCAGGTGAGGGGAATATGTCACCATGAAATATTGGGCCAGGGTGACACTGATGATTCATCATGAATGCACTTAGGTCTTGGAGGAAGATTCGACTCGGTGGGCATTTAGGAAGGGAATCTTGCTCTCGGAATGCACCATCCGTGAGCTCCAGGGAGAACGTTTCCATGCTTAGGATTCTATTCTTACCCACCATGATCAGTGGCACTTGGATAATACAAAAATATGTTTCATTTAACAATTTCACTTGTTTATGTATAATTATAGACTACCTTTAGAGATAATGTCTTCTCAAGGAAAACGGTCAATTACCATCTTGATATTGCATAACAAATGACAAATATACAGTGGAAAGTGACTACATAGTTAAAAATGCATATGCAAAAAGAAATATTACAAAAGGGAGGCAAGGAGTCTTGATACCACTCATTAGTGTTTGTGTGGGCTGGACTTAGAAGGTACACACACAGGAGGTACACACACAGGAGAGTCGTCACTCAAACCTAATGCCTGGATTTTGGTCCACATGTAGGCTGTGAGGCATTTGGCTCCAATGGGGTGAATCAGCAGGCCCATTATAAGCAAGGATGGCTTCATGTTGCTTGTTGTTTGTGGCTTTGGAACATTTGTTTAGATTTGTTTAGATCGCATCAAAATACACAAGAATTAATATTTGAAAACCGTGGCTATCCTCCCTTTTATCAAAACGTTTTGTCAGGGAAACCATAACTTGCAAGATGTTGAAGTCCAAGTTTTAATGGATAGTGAAATTATTTAGGAAAGTAATTAACCCAAGCCTGGCATCTTCTAAGTGTGTGGTAATTAAAGAGATGGATATTTTACTCTACAATATACATGGGCAAGTTCTAATATGAATGATGGAAGCACGAGAGACTGCTGGATAATAGCAAACTTCCTATTCGTGCAAGAATCTTTTTTGTCATCAGAGGCTTTCAAAGTTTTATATCCAGCTTCTCATTCATTTTATATGACCTTTGGTGTCTAGTATATTTTTCTATTTAAACCATTAACCATTCTTACTCGTTTATTGCAACCTAATGTAACACGTGTGGATTATATGGCTCTAGGTAAAACAGAGGAAAAACTTCAGTGAGTGCCATGGCTTATAAACTTGCAACTCAAAATTAAGCCTAGTCTAGTTGCTAAATCCAATTGCCCCAGATTTATGTTCTGTCCCCTGTATTGTGGGACATGTGCTCTACCAGCAAGGAATCTACCAGTACACCTAGTGACTGATCTTGATTTCCCCATTCCTTGAATTGGCAGGAAATTGTGTTTTTTCTTCTTAATACAGTTGATATCAATACTGTTATTATTGTTATTGATGTTATGATTATTAAATTGACCCTTTCCAAAGGTTGAGGAAAAGGGTAAACAAGTGAGATAGGTAGGACTAATAACCGACTCCTTGGTGACTAAACACTTCTAGAACCATCTATGTGTAAATTGGGTTAAATGATGTTCAGTTGCTTGAGAGGACCACACACACTTATTTTACTTGAATGAAGATTTTTTTGTCTTTTGGCCACTTGAGTCATTTTAAGGAGTTCCTCATTTACCATGAACAGGTTATTAAGTATGGCATTATTAAAATCAGAAGAAGGTCTTGTGTAACACTGGAAGGATGACCCATGAGAGATGTATTTACAACTCACTTATGCCTTTTTTACGTACCAAGCTTAGCGTAAATTTAGTGTGCAAAATTGACAGTAATATATATACATATTTATTTTGGCTATCTTATTAGAGGGATGGAGGTAGAGCTTGTATTTTTGAAACAGTAGACAATTTACCTGCATATTCTTATTTATTTTGTTTCATGTGTACTTTCATACATACATACATATCAGTATGTGGTGTCAGTAGATTTATGTATTCCAAGATAGTTTTCTTCTGTGAGTTTTTGTAAATTCATTATAGCTACAAAGGAAATTAATGAACCTTGATAGATGCAGTCATATTATGGTCATGAGAGGTGCATCAAGTTAAATTGTTTTAAAAACTTTTGTTTTCAATTTGCAAAATGTATGCATTGATTGTTTAATCATTCACAAGGCCTGTTAATGATCCCTCCTTGAAAAATAAGCTTAAGTTGAACATCTTACTTCACTTCCTGGAAAATATAGTTACTGTGATTTCCTCCTACCCAGTACTTAGGTTATATGTGTGCAAAGAGTATGTGGCTAACTGTCTCAAATCCATTCATAGCCTGCAAACGGTATACCCAGGGCAGGTGTAATAGACATTTGTACTAGCATAATAGTTCTGGCTTCATTGCAGTGTTGTCTTCGTTGCAGATTTTGGAATCAACAGTATCTTGTACCAGCGTGGTATCTATCCCCCAGAGTCCTTCACATTCCAGCAGCAGTATGGCCTCACTCTTCTTACCACAACAGATGAGGGAGTGAAGGAATACTTGAATAATGTCTTGGCTCAGATTAAGGGTATGTCTCTACAAAACTGTACTTTCATTGAGGTCTGAAGGTTGATGGATTTGCAGTTGTTCGTATAGGTTTGTAAACCGTAAAGGCTTAAATGTAATGATAATCTAAATAAAGGTGAGAGATACATGTTTATAATGTAAACTTTTGTAGTAATTGTCAAGAGATTTTTAAGAAATAAAGAATGCATAACACTGGATGTAACAGAAAGGACGCAGTCTATATAATATGAATTGTTATGCTTACAGACTGGCTAGAGCAAGGAGAAATTCAGCGACTGGTACTTGCTGTGAGCAATGTCGATACCCAGCAAGTTCTAGAGCGATGGGATTTTGATATCCAGCATGAGCCAGGATTTGGCCCTCAGTCTATTAAAGAGTAAGTTGGTGCGTTCCCTATTTACCTCATAAAACTAGCAAATTTCTTTTAATTGTTTTCAAAGGTATTGCTACTAGTGTCCAGGAATAAAACTATAAAATTTTACAATCAATGCTTGTAATATCTTTTAAACCTTTTGTTTTATCTCTGTGAATTAATCTTTCTTTCTTTCTTTCTTCTTAAGGGGTAAAATTGGCTCTAAAGACCTAAAAGTGATCCAGAAAGAGATGCGAGATGTTATTCGTCAAATCACCGCCTCTGTGACCTTTTTGCCTCTACTTGATTGTGTTTGTAAGTACCTTTGCATTTTTGGAGTGTCAATCTGTCTTATTCTTTTGTTTATTTATGAAAAGATAACATAATAGAAATAGAAATGATACAGCATTTTGAATACATATTTCATAGTATATTTTTATTAAATGTATGTTTTGCTATTTTGAGCACAGTCTGCAAATGTATGAATTTAGAAATGCTAATCATTTAAGGGCATATCACACTTGCACTTTTTCTGTCAATTTTTGCACCTCCACATGAATCTGATGCATTACAAGCATGCTAAATGGCTGACAAAAACAGCAGTGACCATTCTCTTTGGACTAATTTCGGTCTTGTGATTCATAGGATTTATGTAATGTTTTGTTAATAAATGAAATAAGAAATTTATTATAAGCATAATCCAATATTCTAGAATATTTCTATTTAAAATAGTAGTCTCCGGTACAAAATTATATTCAGAATAATATGACATAAGAAAATGCTTGTGATTTTCAGGACCTTACACAGACTGTGCCATGTTTGTTTGTGGGCACTATGTTTCATAACCTAGTGCCACTGGGGATGGCTTGTACATACATGCTACATGCTATGCCTAATGTGAGATTAATGATTTTTACACATGCAAGTTTCTACAGGTGCATAATCACATAGGAGTCAAGTACTAGTATTGCATGTCCCACATGATGCCCCTTTTCCTTGATTTTTGGAATGTAATGTTAATAACATAATCATACTTGTAATGTTAATAATAATAACAGCATTGATATTGATATCATTGAATAAAAAAAATCCTGAAAAAGGTGACTCCTTGGTGGCTAAGCATTTATAGAGCTATTTATGTGTAGACATTTTACAAAACAAAACTACAGTGAACATTGCTTTTTCCTGGTGGCATGGGCTTAACTTGGTAGCAGTACTATGCCAGTGTGATTAGAGTCAGACTTATGGAAACAAAAATTGACAATAAAGGTGCTAGTGTGATAAGGCCTTCATTGATTTTCTGTAATTTTAAAAGCACCAATTTATTCATTAAACACAAAAAACTAAACATTTCAGGTTCCTTCGATTTGTTAGTTTACACACACCAAAATGCAGAGGTCCCAGACAAGTGGGCAGAGTCGGCTCCTTGTTTCATTTCAAACTCTCAAGAAGTCCGGCTGAAGTCCTTCTCTACTTCGGTCCACAAAGTTGAAGCATGTGTGAGCTACAAGGTGGACCTCTGATTGTTGCAGGTGCAGCTTCTTGGGTCCTCATCCTTACAGCGTGTAACCAAATCTTCAGAGAGGTTAGGTTTTTAGGCATAATAATGTCTCGCATAATTGGAAGTTCCTCTTTAGATCTTGCATTGTAGCAGTCAAAGATTGATTCTCTTTTTACTAAAATCAGTGTATTAATCTATTATTTGTTCTGTACCTTGTCTTTTCAGGAATTGAAAGTTTAGATAAATATGTACAGGACTTTGGCCAGAATTCTATCTGTGATGATGTTGGTAATATAGAAAATTCATATAATTTCATAGAAAATCTTAGAGTAAAGAACACTTGCTGTGCATTTTCTATGTAGATACTCAAGGATCAATTCAAGGAAAGAAAGATTTTGTTTCAGGAAGTTGATCCTAGATTGATAGGAAGCTCTTGTCTATTTATTTTAGAAAAAAAAGCTTTACATATGCTCAGTAGATAAGGCTTACTTTGTAGGAACACAAAATATAATGCTTGATTTGTTTTTCTTATCTGTTCTGTCTTTCTTGTGTGTGATAAAGTTGCAGTTTGTAATGTAAGTTCTCTTCAAGGAGTCTGTTATCTCCAAAAAATATTGTAATAATTACTTTAAAAAAATTATTCTGGTGCTCTCCATAGTAATTAGATATGTAAGTGAATGACTGGATCTCGATTCTCATCCTTTTATAGCATTAAACAGGTTAGATATGGTATAGTTGGTTAAATGTGGACAGCAATTTCCTCCTACAGTGTGCTGGTCAGTGAAATGTATCAGAGTTCATTCTTTATTTTGTCTAAGCAGTCATGGATGCTGTAGATATTATGTATCAGGGAAGGCCCAGTCCAACTTGATGGAATATGGCTAGAATGTGAGGTTTTTAGAATACCTTTGTTCATTCTTGGTCTAGAGTCCAGTTATTTGCAAGAGTATTTGTGTTGAGTTATCCTCATGTTCAAACTTGCAATGAAAATGGTGAGAAAATGTGAAATTTGGCAAGAAAGCTTAATTTTTGTGGTTTTAACATATGGAAGTTGCATTTGTCATAACAAATAAACTGTTTGTATTTTACTAGTATATTGTTTATATATTGGCATTGTTTTAAGACTTTTTTATATAAATTTCTGTAACTAATATATAGTATTCTTCCTTTGTTCCTTAATATTATAACATTACCCCCTAATGCCAGGCTACCAGCCTTCACACCACAGGCACATTTTTGTAATTTGGTTCCTCCTTAATCCATTGCCACGGGGGATGGCATGTACGCATGTCCACTGTGAGTCGACTTGTTCAATTGTTTTTACACATAAATGGCTACACTTGTACTAAGTATCCAATGAGCCAATTATGAGTACTGCCTGTCTCGCCCGTTCACCCTTTTCATTGATTTACGAAAATATTTAACTGTATCCTAATTTGCTGTTAAAAATAACACATCTATATTTATAGCACTAGTAAGAATACGTTTTTTCCTGCCAATTCAAGGAAAGGTGAAATCAGGACTAGCAGAGCCATCTATGGACAGAGACATTTCACAAAAATATAAAAAATGAGTACTGCATTTCCCCCATTTTTTGTTCATTTTCCCCGTACCAGTGTCCTGTGCCCAGTGTTTGGCCATTGCCAGACACCAAATTTATCACGCTCTGGGATTTCTCTTCACCTGGCGGTGATGGGTTAACATCCCTGCTGGGGATGGCTTATAGGTACATGCCTTGCTAATGAAGAGTTGTTTATTAATTGTATTTACACACAGATGGCTCCACAAGTGCTGAGTTACCAGTAATCAATTATTAATCCTGCCCATTTCCTGCCCCCTGTTTACCATTTTCCTGGATTTCAAAAATATTCTTTTTCATTTTGCTAAATATAACCAACTCAAAGAAAAGCTGAAATCAGGTGAGGTCATATATGTCTTCTCATTGACTCTTTGGTGGTTCTGTAATGCTATAATAACTTTGATGTCTAGCACATTTATTTGTTTTAACCATTCTGGGAATCCACAAAAAAAAAAACAAAAAAACTTACCCACCCTATCACTATATTTTGATTACACCACTAATGACCTTAGATGATGTGGCAGAAAATTTTCAGTACATAAAGAAATAGAAGATATAAAATAATTGAAAATGAAGCCAGGAGTGAGATCATTTGAAAATTAAGAAGCATATGTTAGTGTCTAGTAGTAATATTTGAAAAGGTAAACTTAACCCCTATGATCTGGATGATATGACTATAATGTCATGAAAAAAATTGGCTTAGGGAGTGGGTAACATAAACATCATGGGCGAGGGTGATGAGAAAGACTCACCACGAACGCACAAAGCTCTTGGAAGGTGATTAGACTTTTGCATTATTTTTATCAATAAACAAGTGCGGACTGAATTGTCCATGAGCCATGACTGGAAGAGCTCTGGCTCCAGGGAGGACACTATTTCCATGCTAAGGATTTTATTCCTGCCTACCATGACCACCAGCATAGGTATTATAGAAATTAGAATATTATGATTTAAAAAATGGCACAAATAACAAAATGTTACTTAGTGTTGCACTGAATTAGAAGACTACCTAGAGAGATGAGATGGAGTCTGTGCAAGGTCTATTATCACCTGGGTAGAGCAAATCAAATGACAGGTATGGACATTGGAAAATGACAAAAAAAAAAAAAAGTTTATCCAGATAAAGAAAATAACATTACAAAGGGTAGGTATGGAGTATTGTCATTGCACATGAGTATTCATTTGCACCTAGCCTACAAGCCACACACACCCAGCAGTGTCCAGTAATATAAGCCTGTACTTAGGGCCACATGATGGCAGTAAAGCACACAGATACAATGGGTTTAATATCGATCTAGAAAATAGAAAATATATTACGTATTTGTTGTTTTGTGTTGAGATAATTTAAGTAATGAATTTCGTGTAATCTTACAAAAATATGAGCTATGAACAGACATGAGAGGAAAATAATATGTGTTATATAAAAAAAATTTAATTGTAAGAATAACAGTAGCCATTCTATGAGTGAAGAAATGTACATGAGTAAGTATAAAATATATATTGTATGTAGGTCTCCCTTCAGCCAGCCTGAGAACAGGAAGAGGTGTCGTGGACTTGTCGTCGAATATTCTTTGTCAGCTTGATTAGTATAAATTAAAATCTAACAACTTTAAACTCTGATAAAGACATACATGTATGTGTATATAAAGTTGGAACTTTTAAGATTTACACCTATTTGGCAATGCATAATATTAAACATTTACACCTATTTGGCAATGCATAATATTAAACAAGTCTAGTAGTAAGGATTCCATAAGAAGAAGCTTCAAGCCAGATTAAAGATATAAGATACATAATATGGCAAAATAACATGCCAAGGAGAGACATTAAAAAACAATTACAACTGAAGATTAAACCTGTCAGAAGGGATGTAAACATTATTTTTATACATGTAAAACTAAATAGAAGCCTTTAAGATGTATAACATGGATCTCAAAATATATGACTACTCACTTGTTTTCGGTTATAAGGAAAGGAAACTTACTAGTTACTTACAGTTAATTATGGCAAGACAAAATCTACTCAAATCAGATGGTTTATGTATATGTACAGTGGGAAAAATGGTCTGATTTAAATATGATTCTACAGTTGTGTTTTCAAAACTCAGTATTCAAGTTTAACAGAAAGTGTTACTAACCAGACATCTAACACTGCATTTCTATTTCTTAAATTTCATATGTATTTATTTTAGTCCATTTTTTTTTTCTACCCTTTTATACTTATAGTACTATAATATCAATACTATTCACAAACATTCTGACAACTAAATATAAATTATGAAAACTTATTACATCAGAAGGACCTCAGACTTACATGCAATACTTTATGCATGGGGATTGTCCATTCAAATTTCACAATGTCTTGGTTTAATGAAAAATGGATATGTAGAACACATGAGGTTATTTGGCTTTGACGGAATAGTTCTCAATTATTTTTTCTAGAGTAGATTACCCTTGACCATAATATAGAAAGTCACTAATCCTGAAGGAAAATTAATGATGTTTCCAAAGTTTTAGCAGCAATAATACACTCCAAAACATATGTATAATTCAGTCTCTTACATTATTTTCTACACCTTTTGTACAAGAAATACCATTACCTGTCCCCATTTTACAGTCCATGCATTTGATTATTTATGACTGGTAAACATGCATTACCCTTAATTTTCCCAGAGTAATTGTATTCTGATTTAACTTTTAAAACACAATAATTTACTTGTACTTACAGCAAATTTACTACCTAACTTTATTAAAGCTAGACAGATAAATGATACACATATGTGGTTCTTGTGAAGCCCAGATATGAGCACCACACTAATACTCATATTCAGAGACACTTGGGACACCTGCAACAGAAAGCTGGACCGGCATCTTGAGCCCATCAGCCAATCACAGACTGTCTCGAATGTGACTGGGGGACGGGTGCGAGAAGCAAGTCCAGCCTTCTAGTTTGGGTGGCCTAGGAGTCTGAATATAAGCTTAAAGATGGATCAAAATAATTGAATATAATTATAATGACAAAATAACTTGAATATAATTATAATGACAAAATAACTTGAATATAATTATAATGACAAAATAACTTGAATGTAATTATGAAAAAAAAATTGATTTTATTAACACACTTTTCTCATTTGTTCATCAATATTTTTTATCTTTAAGTCTTACTTTTATTTATTTTTCTAAAGTGTTAAATTTTAAAAGGAACATCCTATATTTTGCAAATTAACATATTTCTGGAAGTCTCTGGAAAACAATGCACGGCAGTTGGCAGTTATGGAAGATATTGGAAGACCTTGTAACAGTGGGCAAATGAAAAGATTAGAATTAAGAATAAATATTTTTAAAAAAGGAAGCAAAGAAAAAACTCCAAGAACTACAACTATGTGAAGAAAGGACAATTCACTTACTACTACAAATACTTGTTGTGTATGGGGATCTAAAAACAAGAGATTACAGGTTACATCCACAAATTAGCAAACCTTTAATACAGGCAATCAATGCTAAATTCCTGGTATGTTGAAGGACACAACACACCTTCAAATTCTTGACTGATCAAGAGCAGCTTATATTTAATATCTTCATCTGCATCAATTGTATTTTTGTGGGGGGGAATAATTCAACCTGAACTAAATTAAAGCTTGGTGCCTAAAACAATAATCCAGTACATTTTAAATATATATTTCTTCCAAGTGTCAATATATACAAATTATCTTTACAAGCAGCGAGAAAATATTTTTTCCTGAAGAAATGGTTATAGTAAATAATATTTTTTAAGCTGTTAGCAGAAGTAAAAATCCTCCATCATATCTCAAGTCTCATTCGTTGACAAATGGGGGGGGGGGGGGATTAAAACAATTCTGGGATTAACAAAAAGCATCAATGTGCTTGTCGGTTAGAAATTAATATTACTTTATGCCTTGATTCAATTTTATCTCCAAACTTTATATCATACCTTTGAGTATGATAACAAATAAATAGGGTAAAAATTACATATGGATTTACATATAACATGCCAAGATTCTTTTAATATTATCAGTCAAGGATTTTCTTCTGCTCAGCTGAAAAAAAAAAGGTTCTACATGTTTCTTAAATACCAAATCTGGAATGTTCAAAGAATCATATAAATTCAAACTGTACACACTATCAAATCACACGTTACAGAAGAAATCATGACAAAACAATCATCGTGTAAACAAACCGATATTACGTAAAACAACACAACAGAAAAAATTGGAAAAACATAGTGGGAACTGCAATATTTTTCCCAAAAGGCTTTATTAGAAAATGCCTACCTTATCACTGGGATGTTAGTTCTCCAATATAACTACCTGGCAAATTTAATGTAAAACTTTCAATCTATTTCATTATTATCACAAAGGCTACTCTTTACTCTTTCATTACTCTCAAGAAACAGAACTACTCGGTATATCATAACGGTATAATCTTTTTGTGCGTATGGCATCGTTATTGTTCAATGAAGGAAAAATGCCAAATTCCAAAAGGCTGCTATACTATTGGCAAACTATTGGCCTTTTAAAACGCTATTCTTGGCACATCTGAACTTTTCTACAATAGACTGCTTCAGCAAGACAAAAAATAATAATAATAAAAATTTAAAACAAATAAATAAATATCAATCTTCATCCTTCCTTGAAGTGTTTTGTCCGTGTTCCAAAAATTGTTGTTAACCTAAAAAAGCCTAATCTGATGTCCATCAAACTGAGTACTCTGAAAGTTTACCATCGTTGTAAAATTACCATAAACAGTACATTTATCTCAACAGAATATATTTTACACAATTTAAAACAAAAACAGGGAAGATCCAATATTACAAACCATCTTTAATAATACCAATGGATTTTGAATGACCCATTATGACAGCATTATGTCATTTAAAACCTCTGTGTGTGTGTGTGTGTGTGTGTGCATTGTTTGCATGTGTTTGCGTGTGTGCGTGTGCGCGCGTGCGTGCATGTGTGTGGGTGGGTGTGCGTGTGCAAGTCCCTGTGTTTGTGTGTGTGTGTGCGTGCATGCATGCATGTGTGCATGTGTGTGTTTCAAGTTTATTGGTGTGTAAATTGTCCCTTATTTTATCTGTTCAGGAACCTGGGACATCAACTCAATGACACCAGGAGAGGATGTGTATATATATCCCCAGTCCACTGTGATTTTAGTTTATTAATTTTGTCTAAATATATTTGACTCCAGATGTGCCTCATCACCAAGACATAGTAAAGTAATAGGCCTACTTCATCTTATCCTTTTTACTCTTTTCCTGATTTTTGGAAAGATATATTCTTTACCATTAGTTTTAATCATAAAAATGCAACAATCATAACACCAGAAAGAATAAGAAATAAAAATATTGACATTTGTGATGATACTAATCAACTTGGTGACTCAGTGAGGAGAGATTCATGTCTAATCAAAATTCAGAAAAACTACAATGGACAGCTTATGTACCTGGTGCCAGTGGGTTAAAAATGAGTAAGACTACAAGAAGCTCTAGTATGAAATAACCTCAGCATGTGAATTTAATGAGACAGCCCATTGTAGTCAGGACATGCATGCATTAAGATCTTGGGGACAGATTAAATTCCAATAATATAGTGTTTTACTTTGGTGGGATCCTGATTATAAGCTGGACGGAAATAAACCTACTGAACTTTTAGGATATGTCTGTGTGTTTATATAAAAAAAAAATTATATTTTGTGTGTGTGTGTGTGTGTGTGTGTGTGTAAAGGTATATATGTAAATATACATACATACACATTTATATACATATACACACACAAATATATATGTATATGTATATATGTGTGTTTTTTATATATATATATATATATATATATATATATATATATATATATATATATATATATATATATATATATATATATATATGCTGCTACACATATATGGTTTGATGTCATTAGACAGAAAAAATCAGTAAAAATAAATTCTTCACCAATTCCATTCTTCTTTGGCAACTTTTACTAATCTTCTATTCAATGGAAATGTTCTTGTCAAAGAAATACAAGGTAACTCAAGTTAATTTTAGATAAAAGATCATATACTGTAGACATATATACATGCTTTGAATGCATACAGGAAAGAATTTGTAAAAGCAAGAGTAACTGAGAGAAAGATAGAGCAAGAGACAGCAAGAGCATAAACAGAGAGAATAAAATGAGATAATGTGTCTGGATGTGTACATGAGTGTGGCCATGACTATACTTTTTATGTGTGATGCATTCTGTTTTTTTTTTCTTTTTCTTTTTTTTATTATGTTTTGCCATATATGATGAATATAACTCTATAGCATTGTATACATGTATGCTGTACATGTGTAAACAGATATAAACAAAAGCCTATTGGAATGTACATATGATCACACACCTAAATATCATTTTAAATAATAACACTGATAATAATGCATACACATTAAGCATTTATCCAAAAGTTTGCACAGTACTCTTGATATGACTTGTTGCCATAATTTACAGTGTCTGTTATCTAAGAACTCTTTACACCTTTATTAGAATCTAAGTTGCAGGTTTACAGGATGCACTACAGTATATAGCCCAAGGGGAGAAAAATATAGATTTCTACCTTGTAGTCACGGTTATTTCATTACACATACTGTCAAATGACTCATTTAAATCCAATCTCCATCTATCACACTTGGCCTCAGTTAGATAATATGCCTCTTCATTAATACATTCATGTTATCCAGGCAAACCTGCTTCCAATCACACACATTTTCCACAAACTCATGCATACTTATCTCCAAATGTGCTAATTCCTCTTGCATTTTTATTATCAGGAACCCTCCCAAGGGGCTAAAGAACCTCCACAGAAGAGCAGGGGTGTGGTGGGTAGGGGCAAGTTGGAAGCACCTTCACGGCAGCCTCCCCTCTGCTGCACCTCTGTACATACACCTTGTGCCTGCCAATCAGTGGGGAGTGACATATCATAAGTGAAGGGTGAAAATTGAAAATGAATGACATTCTGCAAGAGACTCATAGTATCTGACACATATAAAGCCTCAATTAGCCCTTTATTAGCTTTTGTCTATTACTAATTAAGTCTTTTGATAGTTTCCAGCTGACTAGACGATAACTAAAACAAGCTGCAAGTAGTGGGCTTACCTGACCTTACCTGATTCCCCCATTCCATGATTTTTCAGTAAAAAATTATATTTTTCTTCTAATGCTAATAAGATTACTCTGGCTATTATCAATATTATTATCATCATTATCAATAATGGAGTTATTTTAATGTGATAAATACATATCATAATAAGAAATAAAAAATAATTTTTTTTCTAAACATCAAGGATAAGGGTAAACAGGCAAGATCAGGTAAGATTATTACTGATTCCTGGTGACTAAACTCTTGCAGAGCCATAAAGAAAAGAAATCTGTAACATTCACATCATATGTCAACTGAAACATAATTTGTAAATCTTATCTTATATACTGCAAAGTGACAAGAAGTGTACATAATCAAACTACTAATAAGGCATATTTCCTCACCTTATTTCCACTGATAAAGTTCCTTAAGCTGTGAATTAATCTGGTGTTGGATTCGCTGAATTTTTCAATGCTGGTAAAGGAGAGAATCAAAAAATAAATACATGCTGATCATATTAGTCCCATAATGCACTTTGTTAGTATATGTAAAGTACTACTGATTATATACTTTCTCTCATTTCACAAAATATACATATATATGAAAAATAAATACAGAAATCATTGTAGCACAATAATGTTTACATATGCTCACTAACATGCTGTATGTGTGAAAAGATATACGAACTTATACATATCCTTATAGCTATAAGAGAGACACCCACATAAATACTGCTGGCTTTCAACATAAAATAAGATTCACACCTCTCTGAGCTAAAAAGCTGATGCGAGATGATCTTCTGGGAGACTTGCTGGTTGAGAGAAGCATCAAACAGGGGCAAGCCAAAGTGGCACTCCAGCAGATGCCACTGATCAACAGCTGGACCACCTAGAGGCAATGTCATGCCCTCTCTGCCACCGTTCAGAAAAGAAATCAACAGTTAGAATTGTACAACTTCCTATGCTCAGTGGTAATTCTTTTACAACAAGGCTCTTCATAATCGTCATATATCCAACACTCAATTGAATCTCAATAATGACTAGATCCTCTTTACACAGCCATATCTTTCAAGCAACAGTGCTCCAATAGCAAAAAGATTCAATTTACATATATCTTACAGTTACTAGTAATTCAGCACCAACATTCTTCTTAAACACACATATCCCCCAGTCCATTTCACTCAAGAGGCTAAATATCCTTCAAAAACACCACAGCCTTTCTATGCAAGCTAAAGAACTAACCTCCGAGGATCCTGCCCTTCGCTCCTCTCGTGCACGATGCTAGCCACATCATCAAAACTAATGACTTGAGGAATGGAGGTCCCAGCCGGGTCAAAATCTTCAGCAGGCACTGCAGTGTCCATGAGGTTGCCCGTGAAGTCCTTGGTGGCATCAGGTGCTGTCACATCATTAGGTGTAGGGTCTCCACTTAATGCCACTGAGCTGCTGTTGATGAAAGCCCGACCCGGTGTGCTGGTTGACCCCTGGGGCATCCCTGTCGTGATCTCTGCTGCAGTCATAGCATTGACACCAGGAGTGTCCGCCGCAGGAAAAGCCACAAGTTTAATAAACCCAAAGGTGTGCTGCAGGTCCAGCTGTCTGGCTAAAGCTTGTACAGCAGGGTGGTTCACTTTTTCTGAAAGAAGAAAAAAATAAATGAGGTGAAATTACATCCTGAACTTTTCTTCTCTTATCTGAAACTATATATAAACTGTGTGAGAGACCCCTAAAAGTTCAAGATTATTTTCTTAGGATGTTAAGATTTCTGAGATCATTATACCCCTTATCCATACCGGATACAAAACATGAAAATCTTACCCCAAGTTGTATAACCAAACTCACAAACACAAAAGATAAAGCAGATTTACAAATCTAAAAATACATATAAATTAAAAAAAAAAAAAAAAAAATGTTCTGCATCACTACAAGCTCAAATATACTCCACTAGCTGAAAAACTGGCAACATCTTAAAAATCAATGTCACTTAATCCACTGGATCCAGCACTTCATGGCTCCATGGAAATAAAGAAAGAACCCCTCCCTAAAGGCCCAATCTCCTTCCTAAAGCTCTGCGCACTCATGGCAAGATGTCCTGTCACCTGCTACTCAGCAGCAATAACACACGTTGAGACATCCCCATCACCCCGTCCCTCAGGCAAAGATTTTCATCATGAGACATACTGCTTACCCAGAACCAATAGGTTTATGTATAATTTTCTATGTATGTGTTCTATTTTTATATCAATAATCAAAATTATGTAATAATGCTAAGAATAATATTAGTATCATCATTATCATATATTATCATTATTATTACAAAAATAGTAATATTAATAGTAATAATAATAGTAACAAAAAAAAAATGAATAGTAATAATAATAACAATCCTAATAACAATTATCACAATAAAAATAATTATGATTATCATTATTATATATTATCACTATTATTATAGAAAACAAAAATAGTAATAATAATAATAACAAAAAAAAATTATAAAAGCAATGATAATAACAATAATAATGATTATCATAATCACTATAACAATTATCACAATAAAAATATTAATGATAACAATAATAATAACAACAATAACAAAAATAATAATAACAATAATAATAACAACAATAACAATAACAAAAATAATAATAATAATAATAATAACAAAATAATAACAACAATAACAATAATAATAAGAAGAAGAGCATTAATAATAATAATAATAATAACAATAAAACAAGTTAACTGATATTATTCTATATAGAAAAAAAACATTACCATTACAGATTTAAATTAACCTACTATGTAAATATGATATTTGGAGAGAAAGAACAAAAGTAACTTACTTGAATTTTCCAGAGGAAATGGAATATACTGAATACAAACATCATGATACCATCCATAAGCCTGAAAAATAGATCAGAATTTACTATCTCAGCCGTATGTGAAAAAAAAATCTAAATTCACTGCTGGAACATTAATACAGCTATACTAAAATATAAATAAATGAAAATGAATAAATAAAAAAACACAGGATAAACCTAGACAATTTATATCAAGACTGAGAGAGACTAATAAGGTAATTCTCAACTAAAATGATAAATTTCCCCCCCCCCAAAAAAAACAGCAAACCTACCAGAATGAACAAAGGGAGATGAACTTAACATTATATTCTCGAATCCACCTCTTAACCATTACGTCTTCAAGCAGAGAAAAAAAATATATATCAACAAAGATAACAACAAACCTCACCTGGATGAACACCGGGGAATGCATAAGGGCCTCGTTGACTGTGGTGAAGAGGGCGGCAAGGGGCACCACCGTTGGATCGTGGCCCCAGGGCGTGACCAGCACTTTCTCATAGCCTACCAGGCACTCCGGCAGACGGCGTAGTCTTTCGCCTTTTTTTTTTTTTTTTTTTTTAATGAATAAATGAATGAGTGTGAGGAGGAGGAAAAAAAATAGAAAAGGACAGGGTGGAAGGAAAAGGGAATGAGAGAGAAAGAGAAAGAGAGAGCGTGGCAGTAGGAATAGGAGTAGGAGAGGGTGGGTGGGGGGAGAGAGAAATAGAAAGAGAAAGAGAAAGAGAAAGAAAGAGAGAGAGAGAGAGAGAGAGAG